TCACTACCAATTGTAGTGAAAAAGACATTTTCCATTATTTTTATTATAAAGACAAAGTCCATCATCTTGAATAAACCAATAGCAAAGTTTATATATTTCACCACACAGGGGTTTATCTCTATTATAATCAAACATATTAAAAGTTCCTGCTTTATTATCTGTTTGTATTGCACACAAAAGAATATTTGGTGCATTAGGATAAATAGGAATATTAAGTGAGTACATATAAAATACACCATTTATGACCTTTTTTCCATAATCTTTGCTCTCATTCAATATGCAATGGATTGTTACAGGTTCTTTCATAAGGGTGTGCATTTGAACAGTATAATATTCATAATTAGCAAAGGAAGGAGAAAAACTCATGGAGAAAATTAGTGTAGTGAAGAGAAAGTAAAAGGTAAAGTGAGGGGTAATTTGGGAAGCCATTAAATTATTAGTATTTTTTATGTGTTATTTTCTCATCTTTGGTCCTTTTTATAATTGTTTTTCCCATATTGGGATGGGATGGTTGGTAGTTGGTTTAGATGTGTGGTAAATTATATTGTGTTAGGCAGTAGTAGTTGGTAGATATTCATAATATTGTGTTTAGTAGTTGATTAAGAGGTAAATTATTAATGTGTAAAAATGACATGATGTTTTGTTTGTAATTTAGAAATTCGAGTAATTAAAATAGTGTAAGTTATGAAGGAATTTATTTTATATAGAAGGTGAAATAACACTAATACAGAAATAATTAATTCACCAACAAAGGATGTGGTGGAGACATGCACTCCATGGTAAGTATTTCTTCATCCTTAATCAGAGGTCTTGGATTCGAGTTCTCTAGGATACAAAGTCGTCATTGTTAGGGAGCGTTCTATCCTTCGATGTAAAATTCTCTAATGTGAATCAATGTAGATATCGAATATTAGGTAAAAAAAAATTAATTCAGCCCAGCTAACTTTGAATAGCTCACTAGTCAAGGGGATTAATTCCACTTATTAGAAGTGCACTGGGGCCACTGGTACAAGCCAAAGCATCCACCCGCATGATGAGGGTTCAATACCTGCTAGAATCATATTTTATTGTTTTTTATAATAAGTTTTGAATTTAAAGGTCTAACTACGATTCTAGCAGGTATCGATCCACAGTCACGTGACGGATGTTTTAGCTTGTATCAGCAGCCCAATTTCACTTCTATGCTCTTTATGGATGCAATGTAAATTATATTCTACTTCTCAAGATATATATATATATATATATCCCAAAATTAACTAATACACGTGCATCCCACCTATATATACATGTGGGTCTGCCTCAGTATACGAGAAAGACTAGCTACTTATTTTTCTTTTCCATTATTAGTGAAGGCATACTTGTGAGTTGTAATCGCGGAAGTAGTAATTAATTTTTTGGAAAGACCTTAGATACAAAAATCTAAAAAAATTATTTTAAATCAGAAGATTGAAGAGATTTATTGATATCTTCATGTATTAAAATAAAGGGAATTTTACATGATATAACAAACATATGTTATGTATTTTATATAATTGTACTTAAAAAAATTATATGTATAACGATACTTTACTTTTTTTTAGCCTCTCTTTCCTAATCCCGTTCACATCTCTCTCCTCTCTCTCTCCCTCTCCCTCTCCCTCCTTCTCTCCCCTCTCTCTCCCTCTATCAATCATCTCTCCTCTCTCGCTCCCTCTTTCGTCCTTCTCTCTTTATCGCATCTCCTTCCCTCCCTTGCCCCCTCTATCGTCCTTCTCTCTTTATCGCATCTCCTTCCTTCTTATCTTCCCGTCTCTCACTATTTGAATTTTATATCTTCCACCTTTCTTTCTATATTATATTGTTGTATATTTTCGTGCTCTCTTTCTATTTACTCTTTCTTATCACGAATGATACAAGTGATTAGAGTGAATGTACACATGATATCACAGAGAATGAATACAAGCTAAATTAGGACAAGTGGATACAATTTCCTGTATTTATATTTTTTGTATCTTTATATACATCCGGAATATATTTATTAATATAACATGTATCAGCCTATCAGTCGGACCGCGACCCACTTAGGAATGGTAAGGAACCCGATCGGTACGGTCCGAATCTGGCCCAATATTAGTTATTTCATCTTTTATTCCGTATAAAATACATAGATTCTCTCATAATTTATTTATGTGTTTATTTTGTGGCTTTCTGAATTACAAATTAAATACTGTATTAATTTTACATATGCATAATTTGTCTTTCGAACCAACTATCAACCATGATATTATTTATGCATATTTTAATACCTACATAATTCACCTCCAATTTCTTTATTTATTTTTTTTAAGTATTCTCCACAACCTGCACTTGTGTTTTTTTCATAAATTCTTGATCAAACACTTTAACCTTCTAAAAACAAGCTTTTAAAAAACAAATAGACTTCCCATAAACTTGATCAAGCAAGCTATATAAGTAATGTTATGTATATATAGAAGGGGAAAACAAAGAGCAACATCAAGAAAAGAGCATATGTATAAGCATAATACTTATTAATTAGCACAAAAAGAACCGTCCACTGCACTAATCTTTCACTATACGCCAGATCCCATTCTAGAAACATCTTCTTTCTTTTTATTTAACTACATAATCAACATCATACTCTTGTTACATAAACACACTTAGAAACCTAAATCAATACCAATCAAAGTGAACAAGACATCCATTATTTTTATAAAGACAAAGTCCATCATCCCTAATAATCCAATAACAAAGTTTATTTTCAGCACAAAGATACTCATCTCTCTTATAATCAAATACATCAAATGTTCCTGATTTATTATCTGCCCACAAATCACATAAAAGATAAGTTTGTTCATGAGCATAATTAACATAAATTGTATAAATAAATATTAAAGCACCTATGATCCTTTTTTTAAGATCTATTTTCCCATTCAACATGCAATGGACTGTTACAGGTTGTGTCATTTTGTTGCGCAATTGAACAGTATAATTTTCATAAGCTATGGAAGAAGAAAAATTAATGGAGAAAATTAGTGTAGTGAAGAGAAAGTAAAAGGCAAAATGAGGGGTAATTGGGGAAGCCATTAAATTATTTTTTGTGTTATTGTTTCATCTATGGTCCTTTTTATAATGTCACTTTAGTGAAAAGAAAATATTTGTCACATTTAAAAAATCCAAAGGAATATTCTAATCGAATATGCCTTAACCATTTTAGTAAACAAAACTAATAACATATTTTTGTTTCCACTATTAATGAGGGTAAAGTAGTAATCAATTTCTTGAATTGATTTTAGATATACAAGAATATAGTTTTTATTTGCAAATAATTTTATTTTTTTTAAATAAAAAATTAACGAGCTTTGATGGTTATAATGGCCTTTCACCTTTTATAAATAGACCAATAAAAGGTTGGTCTTAATAGCTTTTTAAAAATTGTATTTATTGGTAACTTTTGAAATCTCAAATTAAAAAAAAAAAAAATCATTATGGTAGCAAGCAATTTGATAAGTAATTAATTGTTCTATAGAATAATGGCATGCGACCTGCAAAGAGTGCCAATAGGAAGCTTGCTATGAGATGGAACAATAAAAGGCGATGAATATGTTATCGGCCAAAAATAAGAGGTGTTATCCGATACTATTTTTCAAATATGTCAAAAATTACATTTTGTGTATATATATATACACGCAAAATATGTAAATAATGCTTAAATTTAATATCAGTGTATTAAAAGATGGGAGTGTGAGGCGAGGCGTTTTATATCGTATGAGGCGATGCATAAGCCCCGAGACACGGGGACGTAAGTCCTACATTTGGGTCTCACATTTTTATGCCCAGGACTTACGGTTTTATGCTCGAGGATTACGCCTCAAATTTTAGAACTTACACCTTATGAATCTATGTCTTTAATTTACGCCCCGAAGCATTTTTGGTAACCCCCTCC